GCACACACACACCCACAGCTGTGTCTAGTGCGCTCATTTGCTGTTTGCTTCGGACTCCCTCTCCCCTGTTATCTCGGATGCATCCTAACTTGGCTTACTCTCGCCTAACGAAAACCTTGTAACTCTTGTACAGCTACACTTGTGGTTTTCGCGTGTTCCTCGAACATGCGTCTCCTATGCCACATGTCAACATGGAAAGAAAATTCAGTGCGATCATCCACCCTCTCTCTGTCTCTCTCTATGTCTCTGTCTATGTCCCTGCCTCTGTCTCTGTCTCCCTCTCTATCTCTCTGACGCGCTTTTTCTATCTGTAGCAGCTCTGTCTAGATCATAGCGAAGCCACTCAGAGCCGAGACACTCCGGACGGATCAGAAATGTGGTGGATGATGGTAGAATGTTTCTCTCTCTCTCTCTCTCTCTCTCTCTCTCTCTCTCTCTCTCTCTCTCTCTCTCTCTCTCTCTCAGTCTCGCAAAAGATACTTCTTGAAATGTGTCCCAAAAAGCACAGGGGAAGCTTCAAACTGAAGGGTCTATACTAGTTTGACACTTCGGATACGTCCGTAAGACGAAATGTTGTGGGTGACTATACGGTGTTTGTCTTTTCCATCTCTCAGCCCTCTAGCGTGCTAATATGTCATTTTTTGCGAGCTTCCTCTCTGTCAATCTCCTGTGATCTCGGATATATCCGAACTTCGCTTATCTGGGAAAATCACATTGCCTTGCTGCTCTTCTGCAACGATAGTCTGAAATGTTTTTAAAAGCGAGGCTGATGATCTCCGTGTGTGCTCGACCCTGCGACGTCCGTGCGGCATCTCGAGAAAATTAAGTATGAGACACTCTGTCTCTCGCTCCTTTTGTCTTTCTCTCTCTTTCTATATCTCTCGCTCTTCAAATGTACACGACCACTTCTTGCGGACTTCCTTTGTCAGTCTATCTCCTATGATCTCGGATACATCCGAGCTTCGCTTATCTTGGAGATTCACATTACCTTGCTGCTTTCCTACAACGATCGTCTGAAATGCTTTAAAAAACGAGGCTGATGGTCTACGCGTCTGAAATGCTTTAAGAAACGAGGCTGATGGAGATATATGTACTGACTCAGAGGCGTATAACACAGTGTATACTCTGCTGTGGTGTTCCACATCTGGACAGATCCGAACCATGAGAGAAGCGCGGCAGATATATGTACTGACTGTGCTCCTCGCCTCAAACCTGCTTTACTCCTTGTTCGGATGTATCCGGATCTGGAATACTACACCAGACTATACACTGTGTCATAAATTCGTTTCAAAATAGTACACAAAATAATTTATTGTTTTAACGAATAACATGTTTGTTGATGTTTGCG